TAAAGGGGGGTGGGGCCAAGCTGGCAGTTCGGGAAGCCATTACCTTTCCCTGCCTCTTATACCCGTCACCCACGACCCAGCATGCACCTTTTTGGGAGGGGAGAGGGAAAGCAAAGGAACACAATCTAGTGAGGCAGCAGGGCCTAGTGGGCAGAGCACTGGACTAACACTTGGGAAACTGGGTTCTATTGATGGCTCAGCCACTAGTCCATTGGGTGACACTGAGCATCCGTTCCCACACCTGATGAGACGTCACCGCCGCTGTGAAATTTACCAGTGAATAGTGTTAGTTTGTATTATTAACCCCTAAGTTGTGCGCATCTCGCCATTCTCATATTGCTACGTGGGTCAGGTCTCGACAGTCGGCGGAGGGAGGAGAATGGGACGGAACAGGGTGCTCATCTTATGGAAGGTGAGAGACCCACAGACTCAGCCAGTCTAGTAACGAATTAAGATCAGGTCTGGCAAAATCCATTCTGTGATCAGGAGGGAAGGGCAGGCAAGAGAGAAACACAAGAGAGAGATCTTGGAGGCACTGTGGATAGGTCTCTGAAAACATCCTCTCAGTGTGTAGCGACAGTTAAAAAAGCCAACAGAAGGTTAGGAATAATTAACAAAGGGATAGAGAATATCTTATTGCCTCTGCATAAAACCATGGGATGCCCACATCTTGAATATTGCGTTCAGATGTGGTCTCCTCATCTCAAAAAAGACATATCGGCATTGGAAAAGGTTCAGAAAAGGGCAATAAAAATGGTGAGGGGTTTGGAACAGGTCCCATATGAAGAGAGACTAAAAAGACTTGGACTTTTCAGTTTAGAAAAGAGGAGACTAAGGGGGAATATAATGGAGGTCTGTAAAATGATGACTGGTGTGGAAAAAAGTGACTAAGGAAGTTATTTACTTATTCTCACAATATAAGAACTAGGGGTCACCAAATGAAATTAATAGGCAAGTTCAAAACAAACAAAAGGAAGTTTTTGTCACTCAGTGCACAGTCAACCTGTGGAACTCCTTGCTAGAGGATGTGATGAAGACAAGACTTTAACAGGGTTCAAAGAAGAGCTAGAAAGATTCAGGGAGGTTAGGTCCATCAATAGCTATTAGCCAGGATGGGGTGGAATGGTGTCCCTAGCCTCTGTCTGTCTGGAAATCAGTGACAGGGTAGGGATCACGTGAGGATTCTGTTGTGTTCCCTCCCTCTAGGGCATCTGGCACTGGCCACTGACAGCAGACAGGACACTGGGCAAGATGGCCCTTTGGTCTGACCCAGTATGGCCATTCTTATGTTCTTAAATGTTTCATAGGACCCTCTTCTCTCTGTCCTGAGTTGCCCCATTGAGTAAAGCAATTAGCATGTGTAATGTCCGGATGGTGAGTCAGCAATGCCACGTGTACAAAGCACGTCCGTGTGGTACACAAGCCAGTGGCTTTGACTGGCTAGGGAAGTAGAGTTTGTTGGAGGTTAACCACAGAGAGAGAGAGAGAGAGAGAGAGAGAGAGAGAGAGAAACAGATTCCACACCCATCATCTTCCTTTACAACAGACTGAGGGTTGGGGCAAAGGTGTCTCCCTCTTTTGCATTCCACTTCCCCCTTCCCCCACAGCTGGGAATTTGGAAGTGAGATGCTGGTTTGGCTGGACTCAAGCTCCCATAGCACTAGCTGCCCAAACCTGCTGATGTCTCATAACAGCGTTGCTGTTGGTGTTACAACAGAAGGGAAATGAGGGATTAGGAGCGTGTGCTCAGCACACTGCTTAGCCTCTTAGGCCGGCATTTCAGAACCCTGCTACACAAAGCATTGGGAATTTTATCAAAAGAATCCCAAGCGGGCATTGCCCCGGTAAAGGAACAGAGGCAGAGAGAGGACATGACTCATCTAAGGACACATGAAGGTCAGTGGCAGAGCTGAGGACAGATGCCCCGTCTCTGGACTCCCTGATCCTATATACAAGCCGTTACACCACACTGTCCTCCCTTCTGCCAGACAAAACCCCTTGGGCTCCTTCCGAAGGCAGGATGGACTGATGTTAAAGAACTTGGGAGGTTTCAAATCTTTTAGCAGCTGTTGCCAACTTTCCTGCAAGAGCTTTCTCTTCTGAGGCGCTGATAAGCGTAAAGCCTTGGATAACGGGCTCGTCAGAACTAGTGCAGTGACTCACCTGAAGGTTGCTTCCTGGGTGGGTGTTCTTCCACCTTCTGTAAAAAAACAAATAATAATAAGTAGTCCCTACAAAATAAAATAAATGTGGCCCTACTTCCCAACAGTATCGTGGTTCCTAATATTATTCAGAGCCAGAATGTTGAAACAGAAAACAGGAGCGAGCTTATTAACTGCATGAAGTACCGAAGGTTGGGGTGGGTTTTTTTGGGGGGGAAGGGGATAGGGCTGTAAAATTAAATCTGGGGCAAAGCTCACCGTGTAAAATGGCACAGCCATGGAAGAAAGGATCAGGAGGAATCTGTCTCATGGAGAGGAATTGGTCACTGGAGAAAGGGACAGACAATAGCATCTCCCTGTGCTCCCTCACTGTCTTCCCCCCACCATCGTAGTGAAAAGAAGAACCCATCTCCAGCCTTTCTACAGAATCTTCCTGCACGGCGGGAGAGAAATGGCCAGCAGTACTCCTCACCCTGGCTGTATCAATGGCCGTGCATTCTGTCAGTCTTGTTAATCTAGGGCCTCACTCCGCAAAGGGGTAGATATCTGAGTTACGGGAGTCCCTCATAGGCACCAGTCTTTACAGGATGGGGCCCGAAGTTAATAACAAAAACCCCATGTGAAGTCAAACGTGCACAGGATTTACAAGTGTGCTTAAGCCTCTGTGGGATCGGCCATTTATTTCAGACTCTCAAATGGCTGAACTTTAGAATCATCTCAGGCCATATACATTTCCCAGGAAGGGTAAATAAATCAATATCCAGAGCACTGAACATAAATGCAATTGTTTTCCAGGTCTGAGTCATGCTGGCCTTGTACTATCTCTTCTTGACTCATGTTGGCCACATCATGTAATAAAAAGATTCTAAGACTAAAAAAAACCGGTTTCCTCCAAAATTCTTGAAACATCAGGGTGGATCTTTTGGTCCCTTGGGAGACAAACGCTCCCACTGGCTCTAACAAGAATTTTTTGGCTGCCCTGCGAATTCAGGGATGAAATTATGTGGCCCCACTCCAGAGGGGGGCGAGGGTGAAATTAGCAAGGCAAGACGGGGGGAGGTAAGATCTTTATCGGAACCAACTTTTGTTGTTGACACACACTTTGGAGCTTAAACAGAGCTCAGTGCCCTCAACATTCAGGAAGGGATAGGACAGGGATGAGGGAGATTATAAATTCCCTTCTGCAAACCCCCTCCCCATAGCGTATTTCAAAAGCTCTCAAAAGGATGGTTAAACCAATGTTCTCTTCCTAGTTGAGACAGCATTACTCTCACAAAGTACTGGGTTGTGATTCAAGGGGAAATTTTATAATGGTGCTTATATGCCCAGCTCCTACTGAAATCCATCCTCCTATTCACTGCAAACCCGTTACCAACATGACCTCAAACCTGCTTCTTCAGGTATCCCCCACAAAACCTAAGAGACAGAGAGAAGCAGGATTCTACTTATTGTTGTCCTGAATGCAGGACATTAGGCCTCCTTTGCCCATTTCAATTTCACTAATCTTTCTACACACTAGGGGACTCCAAAGATGACCTGAGACCTTTGTCCAAGTAGCTACTGTTGCTTTTAAACGAGCACAAACACTCAGCAACAAGAGTTTCAAAAAGAGGAGCCTGGAATTAGGTACCTAGCAAGGACTTAGGGCTGGATTTTCAAAGGTGCTTACGGAACACAAGTTGCACTAAAAGTCAACAGGGACCTTGCGCTCTTCAGATGCCTCGGTGCTTTTGCAAGCCCCACCCCTTAGTAACTGGGCTGCTTTTGAAAATTGCTAATGTTCACAATCTTCCATTAGCCTCATTAGGGGCTGCTGGGGGTTTGGCACTTTGGGACATCAGGGTAATATTTTCAAAAGCATCTGACGGGGTTGCTAGGTCTTGGATGCTTTTGAAAATGTTACCCTAGATTGCTGATTTAGGAGCCTAAATAAAGCATTAGGAGTCTACAGCTGGGCTCCTCTTTCTGAAAATCTTGGCTCAAATGATTACCGTTCACTTTTTCTTTGGCTCTTTAAGAAACTAACCTCCATGACTCCAAGCTATCTGGGAACTTACCAGTTAAACAACAACAACAACAACAACAACAAAAAACCCACACACCCATAAACCAAAATTCAACACCATCTCCCCAAATCTGGATAGTTTCTGACATTGCTGGAGGGTTCAAACAGATTTGCAGAAAGTGCTGGGTTGACTCAGGTTAGCAGTCCTGCATTTTTAAGATGCCGCACAGAAAATTAACCCCACAAATATTACATTAGCCCAGGGGCTTTTGCAACAAACATCTAGGCGAGGGCACTGACCGTGTGTGATTTAGTAATAGATCTATTAAAATGCTTTTTTCTCTCATTGCAACATTTTGTGGCATGTGGTAGATGCCTCTCAGGGAAATGAAGACATATGTCAAGTTGGCTTAATTCTGAGTGTCATGTTGCTTGCCCTTCAGAAGCAGCAGTATCTGTAAAGCTATTTAAAACACGATTTAGCTAATTTGCAGTACGAAGCAAGTTATTACCTTTGCTTTTTAATTTTGCCATTGAGAGTTTTCTTTTGGTGCTTCATTTTTAGGGGATGGATTTTAAGTGATTGTGGATTCGATTTAGTAGGGAACTTCTAAATTCAGCATTCACGGTTGATCTTTTAAATATTCAGTACAGTTTGAACTATCTATTCCACATGCACAAAAAAACAGGCCAGATGGCAGTTGGTTTGTGGGAGTCCCACAGAAACGCCTGACCCAGAAAAACCTGGAGAACAAACAAAAGGGAGGGGGAAGGGAAGCAGGGAGTTAAATAAATAAAACTTTGTATAGCAAAGTCTGTATCTGTACATAATGCAGTGGTGCAACCTGCTCGGGAGAGAGGATCGCTTACAAACTATATTTAAGTGTCTGGAATACAGTATATATGGACACATCTCAGTCTAATGCAGTTCTTGCTTTCTTCCCTACCCCAGGCTGAGGGGTGAATGGGTGCAGCCTGGCAGGACAGCGCTACTCACCTGAAACGGCAATGGGAAGGGGCAAAGGAAGCAAAGCAGAACAGGCTCAGGTATCAGAAAGGGGTTTTCAGGAGGACAGGGGGACTCGATAAGGTTTTGGAAGTGGGTGAAAAATAAGAGTGCAGCCAGGAGAGGTGGACAGTGGTGGGGAATGGAGCAGGAATTGGGATATTAGGGACATCAGAGAAGTCCAGATCAGGGCTGAGCCAGTCTGGATTGGGGGCAGTGAATGCAGTCTTTGCAGCCCCTCCCCACAGACAGTTCTAGGACACCTCCTGGATTGGGGCCTGATTCTCCAATGCCAGCTACTGGATCCCCACCCTCCATCCCGGTATTGACGCAGCTCACAGACATTGCGCCAAACACCCATACCAGAGCCAAAGCCTGGTCCGCTAT